GTAATTCGATCTAGGAAGGTTATTTTTGGTCGGGATTTCGGCTAATAGGATTTTTTGACATTGCGGTTTCAACCAATAGAATTTCAGGGGAGGGGGAGGGCAATTCAACCAATCAGATTTTTTTGGCCCTTAATTCGATCTAGGAAGGTTATTTTTGGTCAGGATTTCGACGAATAAGGTTTTTTGACATTGCGGTTTCAACCAATGGGATTTCAGGGGGAGGGCACATCAGCCAATCAGATTTCTTTTGCCTATAGTTTGGTCTGGTAAGGTTATTTTTGGTCGAGAATTTCGACCAATAAGGTTTTTTGATATTGCGGTTTCAACCAATGGGATTTCAGGAAGGGGGCAAATTAGCCAATCAGATTTCTTTGGCCTGTAATTTAGCCCAAGAAGGTTATTCTTGGTCGGCATTTCGCCCAATAAGATTTTTTGACATTGCGGTTTTAACCAGTACGATTTTGGGGGGGAGGGAAAATCAGCGAATCAGATTGCTTTACCGTGTAATTTGACCCAGGAAGGTTATCTTTGGTTAAGATTTCGACCAATAGGATTTTTTGACATTGCGGTTTCAACCAATGGGATTTCAGAGGGGGGGGGGGGCAAATCAGCGAACCAGATTTCTTTACCCTGTAGTTTAGCCCAATAAGGTTATTTTTGGTTGAGATTTCGACCAACAGGGTTTTTTGACATTGCAGTTTCAACCAATGGGACTTCAGATGCGGGGGGGGGGGGCAAATCAGCCAATCAGGTTTCTTTTTTATTTGTTATCAGGTATTATGGTTTACGCTTTTTCCCTTTTCTGAAAGAAAGAGTTATACGGTGGTAAATATCCTTAGTTTGTCTGTCCGCCTGTCTGTCCTAACCAATCAGAAAATAGAGGTGCGTATATCAACTAGACTAGTGTTTCACAAATCTTAAAAATCTTTACCACGGGTTTTTGGGGTCAAGGAATCGACCGTTGACATTAGTGTTTGAAAATTTTTTCAAATAGATGTCTTTTACGAAAAAGAGAGGTTTATTAGCAAAAAAATGTTTTCCTATAAAGTTTGATCAAACGTTTTCGAGGTCGAGGAATCTATTGGTAGTATTAGTTTTGAAAATTGTTTGAAATCATTTTTTTTGGTAAAAAATGATGTTTTTTTTTCATAAAGTTTGAACAAACGTCTTCGAGGTCGACGAATCTGAATCCGTGATTAGTTTTTGAGACTGACCTTTTTAGAGAAGGAAAAAGTTTTTTACGAAAAAACTGTTTCCTATAAGGTTTGACCAAAGACTTCAGAGATTGAGAAATCTGAATCCATCAGGAGTTTTCGTAACAGTTTTCGAAATGAGTTTTTGGTTGCGAAAGGTTTTTTTAAGAAAATAATAGTTTTTTTCTTAGATTGAAGGAGAGAGATGATATAACATAAAATAAGTTTGCAGTTCTACATGTATGGCTGATTCTAAAGTCTGTTTGTATATTTATGCACCCTAGCCAATGGGAAAACGGTGTCGGCTAGATTGATATCAAAAACTTCTGATACTCTATAAAAAGCTCTACGAAAAGTAATCGAAGGAAAATATATCGAATCTGAATCAAATGTGATTTTAATAATAAGTTAATAAACAATCAGGAATTAGTTTTATACTTTTCTTAATAAGTTTAATCCAAGATAATCGAAGATCGATAAGTCAAAACTCAGTTGTTTTTATCGAATAAGTAATAATCAGTAATATTAACTGTCTCCAGTAAAACTCTACTAAAGAGAATCGGCTATGAGGAATGCAAATCTGAGGTCAGCTTTCCAATATTGGCAGTTATTAATTAATGATAAATTAATGTATCATTGTTTTCTATAAAACTTGGCTGATCATTATCGAGCATAAAAAATGCGAATTCGAAGTTAATCGAAGCCTTTTTGGCCTTTTTAAAGCTTCTTTTAATGAATTCCTTCTTATTTTAAGCTTGGCTTAAGGATAGTCGAGGGTCGCGAATCCATGCTCGAGATTGCTTTTAATATAAGTATTTTTCCTTGTTGATTACAAAACGTCAAGTCTTTGGGTAAGATTTATACGCATATATGTAGAAAACGAAGTGGTCACTTGAAGTCCAGTTATTGACTCTTCGTAGGCATCAAATGTAAAATAACATTTAAAACAGACGAAAATCTTTTCTAAGCGACAATGTAATGTACTCTATTTGTAGAAATTTATAAATAGTTCTCTTTGTTTTAGTTTCTTCTTGATGAGGGTATTAACATATGCTCAGTAAATTTTCGAAAGGAATTCAAACGAGATGCATCTATTCGCTTCGAACCTGAAGTAATATTGAACAACTTAATGGCGTTAAGTATGGGCACGGCTAGTCGTGAGTGGCCGACCGGAGGGAGGCCGACGAACGACTA